TGCACTTGTGCATTTCTAAGGGAATTCCCAAATAAGATTATTTTAGTTTTACTTAGATTTAGCGATAGTTTGTTCCTGTTAAACCATTTTTTAATTTTGCACATTTCTGTTGTAATTGTATCCAGCAGCTCCTTTAGATTCCCCCCAGAACAAAAAATATTTGTGTCATCTGCAAATAATACTAATTTTAATATATCAGATGCCTTACAACAGGTGTGAATGGAAATTAATGTCAAGCACTAAAAGCTTTTAAATGAAATGTGCAGTCTCCACTGGATGTGTTGTTAACGTATAGATTAGTCATTTAATATCTATATCTATTTGCAAGACCTTTATGGTATTTATATTATGTGCATAGGAGGAAAGGACAATTGAAAGGGGTTTGTGAAGCAGAGGGACGTTTTTTTTTTTTTCACCATGGTAACAGGAGAGATCAGCACACCACTAACCCACCCTGAGCTGCAATAAAAAGCTGCCCACTTAAGCAGCGCACTCTGCAGTAAGGAGAGGAGGAGAAACAGGTACAGTAGGCTCAAAATAGCTTCTAAATGCTCTGTATATTCCTGCTCACTGAACCTGTAACTGTACAGATAGTACCTGCTACTCAAACGCTTCACATGCTTTATAACTATGAACTTCAGTGGCAAATCTACGTTAAACTCAGCAACATAGAATCAATAAATCAATAAATCAGTCGCATGATTGAACACTTTAGAAATTACCGATTATGCTGATATCTTTTTCTGTGTCCAATGTGTATTTTATGTGTCATTAATATGTCATATGTTTATTTTGAAGTTGCTCTTTTTCTTTTCAGAACTGAACTGAAACATGGACAACACAACTGCAGCAACATTCAAAATGACTGCATATGCTGTCATGGAAAACTACAAACATGGGCTGTTTAGTGCATTTTTCCTGCTCTACCTCATTACCTTAGTTTTGAATGTACTGCTCATTTCTGTTATACACAAAAACAAACAGCTGCATCAGCCTATGAACGTGTTCACCTGCTTGCTGTCCCTTAATGAAATCTACGGCAGCAGCGCTTTGTTACCTGCAATCGTGGCTGTGCTCGTATCAAAAACGCACGACGTGACCGTGAAGTGGTGCATGGCTCAGGCTTATTTCCTGCACACATATGCAAGTGGGGAGTTCTGCATTTTAGCTCTTATGGGATATGACAGATATGTTGCGATATGTTCCCCACTCCATTACTACAGTATCATGTCTTATTCAAAAACATGCAAGCTCATTGCATTTACAGGTCTATACCCATTTATTGTTTTTACATCTTTTTACTCCCTTACCTTACAGCTTCGCTTCTGTGGAAAAGTCATGCCAAAATTGTACTGTGTGAACATGGAACTGGTCAAAAATTCATGCACAAATGCACAGTACATAAGCACTGTAGGACTTGCAATTCTTGTTCTTTTTATAGTCCCCCAATTAGTGATGATAGTTTTCTCTTACGCACACATTTTAAGAGTATGTAGGACATTTCCGAAAGAATCTCAAGCCAATGCTTTTAGAACGTGTTTCCCACACTTGTTGTCTTTGTTGAACTACACTATTGCTTCCTTTTTTGAAATAATCCAGACCAGATTTAACATGAGTCATGTGGCTGTCGAAGCACAGATCTTCCTGTCTTTATACTTTATCATCATTCCACCCATTGCCAACCCAGTGCTATATGGACTCGGCACTCAGACAGTGAGAGGTTGCATAATGAAACTGTTTATTAAAAACAAAGTCATGACAACAGTGTTAGCAAAGACACTAACTGTGGGTTAGGATCTGATATGCATTGCTTTGGCAATAATTGTTAGAGATTAAAAAACTATAATGAGAATGTTTCTCTTTTATCTCTCATCTGGCCAAATGGATATTTATCCATCTGTGACCTTTAGTCAGATGAAAGCTGATTTATAAATCTTTTAATATTTGCATGACTTCCCATTTCATAACCATGTGTTAGGGGGGGTTAATAATGTAAATGGTAAATGATACAACAATTTCTCGTAGGTGTGTATTTTTCTGTTAAATAAACTCTGAAATCATAATGTAATTTTTATCATTTTAACTGAGATGGAAAGTTTAAAAACTTCACCTTCAAAACTTGAAGTAAAATCAAATCAAATCAAAGGTAGTTTCTTGTTTGCCTATCTCCATCTCCATGGGTCTTTTTAAATTTGCTGTTAATTCACTTTTAATTTGCTGCAGCGAATTTGCTGCACTCTTTTTTCACAAATCTTTCTTCTGTGTGCCTTTTTTCTCCAGATGAAACATTATTCAGACCATGAAGTGAAAGAAACAAAAGAATTAACAAGTCGAAGCAAATTGTGGGGGGGGATAGTCTGTTGTATTACCCTGGCCATTGCTAGTCATGCACATTCATTAAATCAAGTTGATAACACCTACTGTATGTCACATTAAGAGGATATTACCAAGTACTTAAAGGCTTAGAGTGGATTCAAGGAGATTAAAGACCTGATTCTACTACGGGGAAGAAGTGCTGCCGAAATGCTTGAAGAAAAAACTCCATATCAAATCTGTCCGCGTTAACAAAAATGCGTTTAAAAAACACATTTTTTGCCACTATCTTTAGTTTCTGTAACTTTGTCAAGTTAGACGTGAGTGGGTAGAAGTTCAAACTGAAGATTGACTGCAAATGGCTGTGATGACTCTGTGGTGAATCACTGGCAAAATGGTTAAGCATTGAACACAGAGCTCACTACAGGCCAATGTGACAACAAAAGCATTCGTAAATGAACTTTCTCGGGCCCAAATATGATTAACAAAGCTTCGTGACGCAGCTCAGAATAGATGCCGCATGAACAGAGAGTACTGAATTAGAAAATATGTGAGTCATTTTGGCTGGTATGTAACGTCTGGCTGAGTCTGCACGCATGAATAGAGTTTTGTTTTCGCTGTTTGCGTGTTTCTCATTTTGTAAATGGAAATTTTTTGCATGGAATTGTTTGCAGTAACGCACATCATCTTCCCTGGATGAATCCTGAGCCTCATCGCAGCTGTCGCAACATTTTTGTTAAGATGCCCACCATTATGCAGTGTAATTCCTGTGTTATTGGGCTGGAATTGCAGTATTTTTCCTCATACACTTTTAGTAGTATCAATCTATTTTATCCAAAATCTGATGATCACAAATTACTAACTTTCTAACTGCTTAGAAAATACAAAATGGATACATGCAATTAAGGCAAGGAGGAAGTTATGTTGTAATACTTTGGCTAATATCCCCAAATATATGAAGTCCAAAACCCTGTGAGTGAATCTGTGTGTGTAGACCTTTTTTGTGACTCGGTTTAAGCCTAACCTAATAACAGAAGCATTGGACTTAGAAATTTAGTTCAGCTCATCTTGTCAGAGTTTAGAACAAATAGCTCAATTGTTCACATCACAAACAGTTGCATTGTTTTAACACGTGTCAGCACTATGATTTAAATTTTCTGTTCAGTCTGTTTTCATCATATCTGTCTTTAGCACTGTTTTGTAAATGTAGCAAACAAACAAATAAAGAAGAACTCCTGTGAATGGATGATGAGTCTTATTAGCAGCCAGTATTTTCTATTTATCTGGATACGATTATGACCTCCTTTATAATGAGAGTGAGATGAAAGCAAAGCTGACCTGTTAGAAGTACCTGGAGAATAAATGATCCGGCTGTGTAAACACAGGTTATTACCTCTGATGTTCTAAAGTGGGATACACTGGAAAAAAGGCAACTAAATGAGAATTACAAGTTTGATTTTATGACACTGAATGAGTACTGAGACGTTTGTGCTGAAATCTGGTGAAGTAAATATTGTCTGCATGCAATCGTGGTTGTGTTGCATGTGTAATGTAATGTATAAAATGCAGATTGTAGACACAGAGGATTATTAATAAGGAAAAAAAAACCAAGGAAAAACATTTTAATATGGAACATGATATAAGAAAAATGCATTTAATCATGTGTGTTTTGACACAGTAACAAGAATATTACTAAGTATAATCGTGGGGTAATAGTTGTGGGACCGCTCCTTAATTTCCAGTCGGTAGCAGCAAAATTTGTACTTGCAACATTACTCTAATTCATGCAGATTAAATGCATTCAACATCACAGCAACAACAAAAAAGTCATTACTATTTACACCTATGAGGCAGTGTTCTGGGGAGAAGTGTGAAACCTGGCAATTCAATTTGGGGTATTCTCTTCCACTCTCTGTTAGCTTCAACTACAATTCAATCACAAGTCCCATTTGAATATCTCCATATGGCCATAGTGCAATACCTTGGCTACACAAACACAGTGGGATGGAGTACCTGGCATCTGCAGAAGGACGTGGCAGAAAATTAAAGGCTGTCTTTTTTCTGTGCCTTGTGGAGGTTGACTGATTTTTTGTCAACAAAGTTATGTGTAATGACACTGGATTTTCCTACCAACTGTCATGCAGAGATTCACAATGGGCACACGTACAGTACCGAGCAGTTCTGCTTCTACAAAGGCTTTTTCTCCTCTGGGGCTGCTGTTTTATTCTTGAGGCTGAGAAGATAAATGTGTGCTCTTTCTGTGTTAATGTAATTGGGGCAAATGACGTGCAGCTGTCCCGTGAACCCGCAGGTTCGCTTTAGACCAGTAGTAGCATACCTAAATAAACAGTTATACCTGCACTAAACAGAGCACTATTCCCACGTGTTCCATTAATTATATATTATGAGAAAACCTGAAGTTTCATGTAAATTGAGCAGCCTCATCATTACTGAGAGGAGTAGAAAAAGAAAGAAAAACACTCAGCAGAGGTTCTCATGTATGTACTTTATTTAAAAAAAAAAAAATATGCAGCTACAATATGGCACAGGTGTGATATGTGAGTCACATGGCTGGGTACAATGTTTTAGTCTTACAAAGCATGCTTGCACATTAAACACTTAATAAATACGGTTATTCTGCTTTTTACGGCGCACAATCAGAAAGAAAATGATTCAATTTTCTGGGGCCGTTTGTATAAGAATTAAAAATACACTGTGCTGCTTGTGTGCATGAGTGTGTGTGGGTGAGTAAGGGACTGCGGGTGAGCCGAGGGGTGGAGAAAATGTCTTACAAACAATCAGGTAGACAGCATGCATACAAAAATAGACGACTATTCTGATCGTTCATCTGTAATTTACAATACGAGTTCATTATTGCCAAGCCTTTTATTTTTGTGCCTCTGGTTTGAGGGATAGCTTGCGTTCTGTGTCTTCTCTGACCTCTCTTGGAAAAGTACAATGTACATTCACTATCACTGAGGCACAGCACTTGATTTACAATTTGTATAAGTAACCCAAAACACCGTGTAGTCACTTTTGCTGTAATGTAATATCATAATATCTGTGTTTATATATATATATATATATAAAACATCCTGTACACTCGTACAACAAACATACCCATGAATCAAACACACATGCATAACCAAATGTTGTGCACAATGAGCAGCTGCACACAACTCCAGCATTATGTTCAAACAACTCAACAGAAGCAAAGGGACGTGGCCATGCACGTGAGCAATGATTTAAAAACCTCTCTGACAAATTTCTGACATGGAATCAAAGTGCTTATTTGCCATAAACCCTGGGAGCCTATAACTTATTTCATCAAGCCAGGCATCTTTTTTTGCCTTTTGTTAAAGCCCTCATCCTAAAAAGAAAGCGATGAGGCAAATAGGGATAGCGAGTCTTTGTGCTCCTGCAAGTGGACTGCAGTTGAAGGTGGTGTAAAGGAGAGGAGATGGAGAACCAAGAAGGTAAACAATGGTTTTTGGTGCCTTTCATTTCCGTCACTGGGACGCCAGCAGTGTGAAGTGCAGACAGAGGTGTTATAGCTTAGTTGTCACCGCCACACCGATTCTCAACAGGCTACCCTAAAAAACCCAACGATCGATTTGTGTCTTGAAGGGGGACGTTCTGCAGGAAAATAAAAGCAGGAATCAGAAATCAGCAAATGCAACTCGTTTATAAAACAATAATTCGCGCTTAAATGTGTTGTTATACATTGAGTGAACTGTGGAGAATTCGTAAGCGGTGAAGTTTGTCATTCAGCAGGGGGTCGTTAACTCGGCGGACAAACGAGCGCTTGTATTCCAGGCGGTTGGCTGGTCTGTGATCAGACAGGTTTGTCTGCTCCAGGGCACGGTACAAATCCACCAGAGAGTCCGTCTGCATCCTGCAGTCACGTCCATGGCCTGGCAAGACACAAAATGCACCAAAAAAACATATATTAGTAAACTAAAGTCGAAACTGAGATTTGTTACCTTTTCACACCCTCTAACAACGCTCCCATGTTTCTGAGCATCACACCACAGAGAGCCAAAAGTAACAAATGACTAGTGAAGTGACTATTTTAAGGAACAACATCGTTTTTCTGGAAACAGGTTCCATGCACCAAAACTAAACTATATTCAAGCAGCATTTTACTCTAATAGCTTTCTGGGGTGTGGGTCATCGTTTACTATCGTTAATCTATTAATCATTTCCTCAGTAATGTTGTTTTTTTAAAACTTCAGCGAGACTTTTAAAATCAAAATGATTCAGCATGCTTTAGTTCAAGACAACAAAAACTGTAAAATGTCACTTTTTAATGGCTAGAGTGATAAAAAAAAAACAACATTTTGCTAATTGGATGAATCAATTCTAGTTTTAATTTTTTACTGATTAGCCTATTGACTAATTATGTAGCCTATGGACGTCTCCCGAGATGAGTAAACATTTCTTTTGTTTTTAAGACATTAGTCAGAGCTACATGTATTATTTGTGCTTTTTTCTTCAGACAGCAATAAAGGAAGAAAAAGGACCTTAAATGTAGGAAACTGGAATCTCATGCATTATTCTAATAAGCTACCCAAACCCCATTTGTCTCCTGTTTTCATGCACTGCCCCCTGTTGCCAACACTCATACACTGCACTCGGGCGCTGATTATGTGAGTTGTCACACACTGTTTTGTATTTTGGAAGCAGGGTGGTACATTCTGAGGCTTTTGGGCTGTGCTTTGAAATGTATCGCGCTTTGTTTGCGGCCTGTTTTGTGTCTGCTTTCTCGTCCCTATTGGAAGTGGTGGAGAGACCGAACCCACGGAGCAATAGATAAATGAGGACAAGAAGAGAGGGGCCTTGGGCGAGCTTCTTTATCCCATTCTGAATTCAACATTAACTTGGGCTGAAAGGATTCCTCCTCGCCTCGCCATCCAAACACCGCCGAGAGGCACGACGACATCTCGATCAGGCAAGAGGGAAAAGAGAGAGAGAGAAAGCGAAAGAATGAGCTAGAGAGTGTGCTAGAGAGAAAAAGAGAGTGGGCTGCCAAGATAAATCAGTATCAAATAAGACTAAATTTCGTTTCACTTAGACAACTTCCCCGGAGGACTTCAAGGGATGGCGAATGGGCTGGCTTTAAATCCAATCCAATAAAGCAATAATAGCGAGTATTCAACCTCTGACATTTGCTGGCTCTGACTGCCTGTTAGCAGCTTTAATAAAATAAATGATGACAAATAAGCGCATTTGCACAGCCGTGTGCTGATGAAAAGACTGATCTGCATATAACACTGAGCAGGAGAGGCTCTCACAGCAGGACCATTCAGTGATGCTGTTAAGTGTGCGACGTCTTCATCTCTACCTCAACATTTTTGTACCCCCACAAAACTGTCAGATTAGCTCTAGGAGCTCTTCATCGCAGCCACCTGTCGGGCTCCACATGTGTTAATCTGAACTGATTTTCAGTTCAGAGGTATTTAACGCTTTCGATTAAACGTAAGTGGATATTGTTGTTGACCTCTCTTGAATACAGCAGACACGGTGATTATAGCATCGTTTATTGTAAGAGGTGGTGCCTGACTGTTTAAATCGAAGCAATATGCCTCAAATTTGTGAGAAGAATGTCAACTTGTGCTAATAACGAAAAAAAATCTTGCCAAGCATATGTGAATACTTCAATCCATCCATAGATTTCATTCATTTTAACCAATTCAGGGTGGAGTTCAGTGGGGTCACAACCTATCCCAGCTGTCATAGGATGAGAAGTGACGTAGCACCTGAACAGATCGCCAGTCTGGGCTAACGCACAGATTCATACTCTCAGCCAAGTTTTTTCACAGTCATGAATTACCCAAACAATTGGACAGAGAGGCCAAAGCATGCACAGTGAAAACATGCAAACTAAAAGTAGGAGGGCCCTGTCCGGCCAGTGGACTCAAACCCACAACCTCCATGCTGTGAGGCAGCGCTGCAAACCACTGCAGTTCCACTGCCCTGCCTTTTGAACCATATTACCTGCAGCAGTGAGGCAGGCAATAGTCTGAAGGCAGCTTGCGTCGCACTTTTCAGTTTCACTACCAATCAGTTTCTAGTATTAACAGATAAATCAATATATAGCGGCAATCTACCAATAAGCAAAGCAATAACAAGGACTTTTTTGTTGCAGTGCCCTCCTAGCAACTAGAAGCAACCACCTGCCAATCATATCATTCTCTAGAGGGTTACCAGCTGTGTGACTGAGGCCTAAGCTTTATTGGTATATAGCCCAAAATACATCATTAAACAGTTTTTAGGAAAATAATTATTTTATTAGTTTTTCTGTTGGCTATAGAGTGCAGCAGGATTTTACAGTTTGCACATCTCATTCCCTCATTCATGGTCATTTTGGAATAGGATGTTGGTTTGATGCTGGAAGGTCTTGGATGAATACGGGGTTTAGACATTTGGTTCTGTAACATTAAATACGTAAATAAAAAGCCCATTTAGAGAAGCGTTTTACTTGTCCTAGAAAAGTTTCCAAAACAGTGATTAAATAGGACTTGTTGGGGACACTGTGATTACAATTGTGATTAGATTAGCCATAGCAGCATGTTGCTATTGCTTTATAGCCTAACAGTGTTATTAAATCATAAGGGGCTTTGGTGAATTCAAATCCTGTAAAAATGTTGTAAAATAAATACAAAAGAGAAGACTGCAACTGTTTGGCTTCTCATGACAGGCAGCATACTGTAGTAAAACTGAAAATTCATATAAGGAATCTGACCTGCATCCCTGGACCGGTCCAGTGGATAGTGCTGCGGTTCCCCCTGATCAGAAGCAGCAGTGGCAGCCAGGATAGCATGGAGGCCGCTGTCCCTGGGAAGTGTGAAGCTGCGAGGTTTCCCTCCTGCCTCTGAATCAATACTGGCCCTGAGGGGCAAGGGCAGGGCTCTGTACTGTTCCTGCAGCAGACTGCGCTGTGCAGGCAGAGTGGCCTGCCTGCGGTACTCCATCGCCAACTGGTCCCTGTCCTGGGATAACAAGGATTCCTCCATGGGAAACGTCTGGAGGTAGTGCATCCGTGTGTTGCTTTCCATCTGGTCGTGCCACGAGTTTCGATGGCTGCTCGTCTTTGGCCCGGGGGAGATGCCATTGTTGCTGCTGCCTTCCTGAGGCTCCGAGCGGAACTCCTCGTGAGAAGAACGAGACTGAAAGGTGTCGGAGGAGGAGAGATGCCCGCGTTTCGGTTCAAGGTAAGGACTCACCTAATTACAAACAGACGTAAGAAAAATAAGGGACGTGTGTCACAGAGGAAAATTCAGTAAATCAACCATAAATTTCTGAACTACAGGCTGACAGACTCACTGAGGATGCTCTGGGATAGGTGTCATAAGGTGGTGGTGGACTGTCCTGTTTGGACATTGAGGGCATTTCCATGTCCTCATGATCACTCTCACTCCAGTAATCTGTCATGTACAAAAGTACTGTTGAGTTAATACTTCTAGGCACAAGCAAAATCAACTGTTTCTACATGCAGCAGAAAGGGGTAATTTTTCTCACACGCATACAGTTTGCAATCTGAACACCTGCATGAGGTCGGAAAAATCAAACTCTGACTAACAGCTCTGACAAGGGTACTGTGGCAGGAGTGTGGATAGGTAGGTGTGATGTACAAGTCCGGGTCCACTGTGGAGTGTGAAAAAGGATGAATCTAAGATGTGAGAACTTCCTTATAGGTCTTCTGGAGGTGTTATGGTTCTAATTTAGAAACTCTTCTGTAAAGCAAAAGACCCTGTTTTCATGAAGCTCGTGATAAACCTGCTCTCACCCACCCATCCATGCAAGGTTCCTACGTAGGCTCCTCTAAATAGCGCAAGGGTTAGTTACATTATTTCCGGTCCATCTTTAAGAAGCTGAAGAAGTTATTCAGCCCCTTAAAATTACTATTTATACTCAGCACGACGACGCGATTCTTGAGTCTGATGTAAAGCGGAAGTGCAACGCCTCTGCCGCTGATCTAAATCTGTATATTGAATCCTCTGCATCTAGTCTTGTTTTTCCAGGCCATAGCATCAAATTTACTCTAAGCCAAGTTATAATTTTCAAATCCCCAATTTATTTCCTTGTAATTCTTCTAAACTTTGACAGTCAAATAAATAATTAATGAGCTCATCTCCCAGTGGAAAGATTCAGACAAAGAAGTCTTTACTTTAAAGCAAGTGAACCGAACTAAAGAAGCAAGAATTTAAATGGAGTCATCTCTACAGTCACTTTTTTTTTAAAGAAACGTTAATGTTGGAACAACCAGTTTTGTCCATTTGTGGTGCAAAAGTTGTTGCACCTCCAGTTCTAAACAGTAAAGACAGCAGCTTAATTACTGCTGTGAGCCTCTGACAGCAAATCAAAACCTCTGCCAAATGAAGACTAGGCAAAATAATTATTCACGCATGTGTTTCAACTTTTATGTACGTAATTCCTCAATCGAAAAGCAACAGCGTGACGCCCCACTGCTTAGAAATCATCAGTTTTATATAACTGTTGACCTGTAACAGCTGAAGAAATTCTTGCAGCACCGTGAACACAGACTGTGACTAATCTCACCTTGGTCTTGGCGCATTTTCTCCTGCTGCTCAGAGTAGCCTGCCACTGCCATACTGAGACGACTAAGCCACCTGTGGGGGAGAACAACAGCACTGACGCACAGCAATTCAACATCCAATGAAACATCTCATACCAGTGTGTGCGTGTGTGCGTGTGCGTGTGTGT